TAGTCTTTGTCAACTTTGAAAATTATTCTGTATTGAGAATGTTTTCTTATTTTAAATATTCACTTTCAAGCCTAATTATATATTTCTACTTTTGCACATTTTGTTTTTTATTAATGAGGCTCAAAAATTGAATAAGTGACAGGCTCTACATCTGGACACACCCTTTTTGATTGGTACCCAAAGACCTCTAATGGTAAAGTATATCTAATGTTGAGATGTAGTGTGGTATTAGTTGCCTAGAGTATTGGCTTTGCTACTTTAGGTAGCATATCTGTTGACCATACTTCCTTCTTCTAGGTTCTAAAAAAAAAATAACAGAATTTTAGTTTTTGTTTCATTTTTCTCAAACTCCATTTTGTTTCATGTTCCCCTCCAATTGCCAAATTCTAAATTAGAGACATTTAAAATCTGAGATTTCTATTAGACACATAAATACACAGGTATACACACTATTGAGTGCTTAGAATTCAGGGACAAGATCTGGGCAAGATATATACATGGGGGGGTTATCATATATATACATCTGGATATATACATTGGTGTTTCATGTACACCAGAGTAGCAGAGTTGACAAGATCTATTACACTGGGAATAGCTGGCCTGAGATAAGAGCAAAGGACTATCTATCAGTATAGGGCTGCAGTGGACATTTGAAATGCTGAGAGACTTTTTAAATAGGGTATAGGATCATCACCTAAGAGTGAGAATGAGAAGCATATATTAATTTTGAGAAAATAGAAAAAGGTTTAATGTAGGCCCTGGTAGATTAGGCAAGAAGATGGACTAAAAAAAATATAGCATGACTGTGAGGCAGAATTAAAGGGTTTCTTAAAGTCCTGGTCTAGAATTCAAAGCATGGTGTGCCTTTGTCCAGCTATATTCAGCTACACTGCTGTGTTAGAACTAGAACTCAGGTGATCATTTTGCCAAGAGTCAGATAAACAAAACCAGTGCCATAGGTTTGGGCTCTGGAGACATGAATGTAATGACTGACCATAGGCTTTTATGCAGTCTTTTCATCAGGTCCTATTCTTCTGTCCTGCACCTCTCCAGCCCACCACCCATGCCTTTGTTTGGAATATGTCATCTCTGACCAGAATCTTTGCAGCATCACCTGGCATGCCCTTCTCCCACCCCTCCAATTCATCTCACATTGAAGCTAGTAGTCTCTTTTTAAAAAGGCAAACTCTGTCATTTTTCATGCTTGAAATCCTTCAGTGTCTCTCTCCTTTGTTTTTCAAATAAGGTTCATATTCCTCATTATTGTCTTTTAACAGCTCCCCCTACCAACACAAAAACGCCAATACAAACCTCATACCTAAGTGAATCACAGCTATGCTGAACATTTTTTAGTTGTTTAAACGTACACTTCTTTGTACACTTGGACAAGTTTACACATTACTTCCTATGCTCTGAATGCTTCTTTCTTCTCTCACTCACCAAACTCCAAGTCCAACCCAAACACAGCTTCATCTGTTGGATCCTTTAATAATCATTTAGATTTCAAGTTTATTTAAAGCCCCCTCCAGAATGTCCTTTTTAAATTCCTTTGTCAGCTAGGCTTTTGGTCAGCTAAACCTTCTTATACATTTGTATTAAATCCCTAATACCTCATGGAGTGCTTGACACACAGAAAGTACTTAACAAATATTTATATTAATTAATAAAAACACATTCACAAATCAATTAACAAATTGCTAATTTTCACAATAATCTATGCTTTTTTAACCCTTTTGAACCATTGGAGAAACTGAAGATTACAGTGCCTAATACCTTTGCAAAGAAAATGTCCTATCTTATTGTAAATGGTTTATCTCTTATCAGTACCAGGATGATTTCTTATTCTCTTTTCTTTCCAATCTATCAATGCTTATACTGAGATAGAGAAAGAGGTCATATAGTATAACATTTAAGAGCACAGATTTTTGAGACAGACTTCAAAATTCAAATCCTTAGCTCTGACATTTACTAGCTATGTGTCCTTGAGCTATTTACTTAAACTTTTTTTGTCTCAGTTTTCATATCTGCAAAATGGAAATAATAATAACTGCCTCATAGTATTATTGTAAAAATTAAATAAATTATATAAAGCATTTAGAATAACACTTGGGACATACGTGTAAGCTAACTATACCAGATGATGATTATGTTTTTATTTTTATTATTACTGGTGTAGCTTCATATCAGAAAAGAGGGTTTACCCAATTAGTGGTCCCAGGTAAGATGTTCTGTGATCTATTAAATTGTGTTTTTAAATTTACCTTATCTGAGGAATACCTTCCTAGAGACAGAAGTCTACAAATCACAACTTGCAGAGGATTCTACTTCATGATAGAAGCTGGTTGGTTCTTTGAAACAGTACCTTCAGATTTGCTACCTAGACTCAAACACCTGAGACTCAGCTTCTTATCAAACCAATGGTCCTCCAGGCACTGGTGTGTATGCAGAAAGAAAATTCATTTAGCACTGAGTCTTATGTCCACCCCTCTATTCTTATGTAATATGAAATTTTCCTTCGGGAAAGAGAATCTGTGATGGGTAATTCTACATGTCAATTGTAAATCCATGAAACATAGAACTTTGGAGTTATACTCAGTAATGGTAGGAGAGCTTTCTTATTTACAAATAACAAGTGAGAATAGATTTATATTTTAGTCAGAGTCTGAAAATATTTATATCCAGGCCTCACCAACTTATGTAAATAAGCTAATAAGCTTAAGACATATTTTTTGCTGAAAGATAAATGTAAAGTGCTCTTTGATTTTAATTTGGGCAAAGTGAAATACATGAACATTTCTAGATACTTGTGATAGCAGTATAAATTTGGTATATTTTTCTATGAGGCAATGTAGATATATAAACCTAACATCTTCAATATATTAAAATATTTTCCATTCAGGAATTCTTAAACTTGGAATTTAGATAAAGGAAATAACTTGGAAATTACATGACAGTCTTTGGGCAAGGTCAATTTTTTGCTACCTATTTTTTATGCCTTTTTACATTTACTTAATGTCTGTGTCGTCCCAATAAAATGTGAGCTCAATGAAAGCAGAAACTTTTTTCTGACTCCTTTTCCAGCCACATCACAAGTGTTTATCAGATTATCTGGTATATAACAAATACTCAACAATTATCCATTAAATAAATCAAAGAATGAGTGTTGTCATATGTTTGATAAAACAATTGGAGAAGTCTCTAAAACGCAAAATTGAAGATTTGGCTTAGTAAATATGGGCAAATAATGGGATAAATATATCTACTGAAAATTATAGTGTTTTTGAAGGAATATTAATTGATAAAAAATTCAAAACATATTTTTACATGAAAAAGCAGATTTCAAACCATATAATCCTAACTTTGCAATAAAATATTAAGTACTTATGTGGAACCAGACATAATTTATATTGTCTCTTTTAAATTATTTTTTAATTTCAAGTATTATAATAAACACAGTATTTCTAAATGTTCGGATCACTTTCTTTTTTTTTTTTTTAAGAAAAGGTTATAAAGACCATGTAGCTACTTGGAAAACAGTTAGGAAATAATCTAAGTCTAAATAACATTAAAATGCATGCTGGACATGAAAGTTATATTAATGTATGAAAAATTCATATTAACATGAATA